GCACGGTCCTAGGCAGGCTGAGGAAGTGAGACAATGGGCTTTATGGTAAGGTTTCTGTAGACCGAGATTTTCATAGACTCCGGTTTTAATAATATTATGCAGAAAATGAGTATTATTTTTCATAAGAAATACTAAATTAGTTTCTGGCATGTGCTTATTTCTCTGTATTAAGTGGTGTTGATTTACTTCCATATATCATTTCTCCAGGAAGATATTGTTATTTTAGTCTGAAGCTTTGTATTCTTACTTACATCCCTCATAAATAGATGAACTTTGACCGTGGGTTTTGCATACATAGAATGAGTTTCTGTTCTACCATCTAAGTCACTTAAGTCACTTAAAATTTTCTACCATTTAAGTCACTTAAAGATTTTTAAGAAAGTAACCCGTGCAATGTGTGCTGGTTAATTTTCCTTTAAATTATTTAGTATAAAAAATATTTTGTTTAAAGCATCAGCTGTGAAAGAATGGATTACCTCATTCCTATATATTTTTTCACAAAAGTCTCCTTGGTCCTCTGTTGATTTCATAAAATTCATCTTGATGGGGTCAGCCTTTAATATGGTGACAACTAAAGCGAGGTGATGGTGATGGAGGTTTTTGCTGTGTTTACAGTAAAGGTCTCTGAGTATAACCTACCAGTATTTTTTGAGTGGAAAGACTGTCTCTCTTTCTATTTTCACCCTGTTTTTCAAATTACATGTGTTTCTTCTTCTTTCATCCATAGTGGTTATGCCGGAAGCACTTCCTATTAAGGAAAGACTTCAAACTAAATATTTTCATCTGTTGAGATATCTATTCCTGTTTTCTTATATCCATCCTCCACTGGTTGTTTACATATTTTTCTCAACAGATTAATGCAAACCAGGAACTTTTCATGGTATGTGTTTAATTTAAAAATACAGAGACAAAAGTGACAGTTATTTTCAATGAAGAGGACACATTTTTTCTTGCACTAGGAGGTTTTTGGAGAATCTCATGCAGGCTTCTGTGTTCGTGAGTGATGAGAGATTCACATTTGTGGCAAACTGCCTCTGCGATTATTCTTTGCTTTGGAAGAGACATCAAGTAATTTGGCTTGATTTTTTAAAAAAAGTGTGTGTAAACATGGAAATGGTGTGAATACCTTTTCATAAACAAGCACACAGATCTCATTTAATGTCTTTTAAGTGAAAAAAAAGATAATGATAATATCCCATATTTAAAAATGTACATAGATGCCATCCATGTCTTCAAATTGTCCCCTGATTTTGTTCTTCGTACTTTAGGTGCTAAGAATTACAAATTCTGTACACTCTGTTCAGGCCACCTATCTGGTTGGTGATAATTTTGCCTTCCTTGTTGTGTCTGCTGTTTCTTACTCTTTCTCTCTGCAGTTTTCCAACTGGAGCTCTGATAAGAGTCATAGCATGCAGACAGTATTCTCATGAACCTAAACCAATCTTTTGCTTATTGTCAGTATTATTTACATTTTAGAGAAGGACACTGTTGATGCCCACCATGGTAAAATTTATAAACAGCCAAGATCTGCTCTTTTATGCAGCTAAGACACATGACTGAACTCTGGATTTGAACCCTATTATTACACACTGTCTTATTCTGCATAATATAAAGACTACTTTCCTTTTGTCTATGGAAAGAAAGACTAGGTAGGCACTTTCTTCACCCTACAGTCTGTCTTCCTTCAAGGCCATAGGTGCCCCTCTTTGGTGGGAGTCTACTGTGTCTTCCCTCTCCCTCAGTACTGCTGGTTTCTTCTCACCTCTGGCTCAGGTCCATTGACCTGAGTTTCCTCACTGGTTTGTGAAACATCAGAGAGTGTCCCGTGTCACAGGATTGATCCTGGCTTGGGTAACTGCCAGATATCAGTGTGTCTAAAGCAAATCCTTCCTTAGATAGGTCATTAACTAGGCTCTGAACTGTGCTACATTTCTTAGGGAGGCATTTGCAGCCTTACTGAGTTATCAGCACTCCAAATGGTGACTGCTCAAAGCAAATGCAGAGGTTTCTCTTTGACTTTCTCACTATTTTCTGTTTTTTCTTTGCATAAGCTTTCCACTTGCATTTTCTTTGCTTTTTTCACTTTTGTGTGTGACTTTCTTCAAGCCTATTTTCTCTGTGATTTATTTTGTTTTGTTTTTTCCTTTTTTGTTAACAAAAGCCTATCAGAGGGCATCTGGGTTGTGGGTTGGCTCAGCTTCAAAACATGAGAATTTTGTGTTTGTCATTTTGGGTGAGGCAAATCCTGTCTCAGCACTGTCACTGCTAAAAGCTGTATTTCGGTATTGTCTTCCAGATCATCTGGGGGATTGAGGAAGCTGTTGTCCTGTTTCTGTTCCCCTAAGCTGTGCTCAGCCTCACAGGTATAAGCTGGGTGAGGCATGGCTGGGCGGGGGCACGGATAGATCTTTTCTGTTAGGCCATTTTCATGTGTTCATGATCTCAAGGATATATTTCCTAATAAAAAAAATTGCTGCAGAAGTAGCTTTACAACTTTCTGTGTAGCATCTACAGACAAATACAGGACCAAGCTATGTGGAGTGTGTTTTGCTAATATAGTTGTGTGATCCACAAAATTTTGAGCAGGCTGTGTGGGTGGCCTTATTTTCTGTCATGTGTCTGATCCTGCATGGGAACTAATAACATAAGTGGGTGCTCCTGAGTGCAGCACTTTCCTGTATTAAGACTGCGCAGAAAGGAGATTGCTCTGCTGCCTCAAGAACATTTGTCAGTTTCTGGCAAGCACTTGTGGCCCTCATGACACCCCAAATGTTGAGTAAAATTAGAACATCTGCAAAAACCTTTAACCTCAATCCTTCATGCTTTAGGACTATAGGTTCTTAAACAATGAGCAATGCTTTTAAGAATTTAGTTCTATCCCTCAATTTATGTAAGATTCATACGTACTACTTGGCCCATTTTATCAGATTGTTTACCAAACTAAATTTATGAAAACAGAACTAAATCAATGCCTGAAGTTTGCAAAAACAACATCAGAATACAAGTTTATAATTTACTGTTTACTGTTTCATGTAATTCTTTTTTTTGTTTGTTTTTATTTTAGAAATAAAAGGAGGAAAATACTAACAGATCAACAACGTTTTACAAAATAGCAAAGGATCAGTACAGACATTACGGAGTTACAAACAGAGTGGTAGGGAATTAACAATGCTTATTGTATTACATATTGATATCTTCAATGTAGTTTCTCATGAAAACATATATAGACATACAAAGCTAATCAACCAATGCCTCACTGACAGTTTCTTTAAAATATTATTTAGACATTGTTATGTACCATATTAAAGTCATGCTTTTCAAATATTATAAAGAAACATTTTATAATTTGCATGGCTTAGATGTACAGGAGATAAGTGTGTGTGATTTACAAAACCTGAAAGACAAAGCAGAGCACTGAGGACTCAGAAACCACATGGGTCAGAGACATCTGATAGTCAGATAAGCATATTTCCCTGTTCCCCCTGAGCAAATGACAGGACCAAGGCATAATTTTCTGACTGTGTGAATGGAGAAAATTGTGTAACTTTCCTGTACCAACACTTTAGAAGAAGATGAAATTTTTCAATTTTTACTATGATATTTCTATTTTAAAATCAAAACTTCCATAGAACTGAGACCACATACTTACCTCTGGTTTTAAAATCGTTATCACATGTTCATTGTGTCTAAACAGTTCAGGTTTCTCTCAGTCACTTACACAGCATCGTAACTTATACAGCATATGTTCTCAGTAGCTATGAATGTAGTCTTAATCTGCGATGTTGAAATGATTAGTCTGTGATGATGTTTCTATACCCATGTCACCATGTTAGTACTTTAACATTATAGCTTTATAAGGGCTGATAAAAAAATAAGTGTATCACACTGGGAGATAAACTAAAAAGTTTATTATCACCAAATTGTGTCCTACAAAATTTATACATGGGCCCCATAACTCTGCAGAACTATCGCTTCTTAGGTCAGGAACATATAAACAATTGGACTTATGAACCACCTTCAGGTGAGAATGTTTGATACTAGTATAATTAAAACCATAAAGAAGAACCTCCAGAATTTGCTTAATATCTGGGTACATTTGAGATTCTCTTTCCACATGGTTATGTTGGACTGAAAAAAAATTTCATGGTCCTAATAATAAAGAATAATTTCAGTGTCATTACTGATCTAAGTTTGCCTGCCTTGAGTTTCTAGAATATGGGAGCACTATAGTCTTGGAAGATTAAAAACCATTTTAGTTTCATGTGTCTAAGAAACAGGTATTGTTAAGGGTCTACAACTTTGATTATATCTCCTTACACTTTCAGGCTGAGACAGAGGTATAATATCTTATAAAGCATGTTAATTCTTTCAGGTTTATGCATAAGTAACTATACAGTAATGATAATAGTACCTGACATTTCATGCATCTCTCAGTCTCTCTTCATGTTTGAAACATTTGTGCACATTCTAGTCATAGGAAATAAGGAATATATTTATTCTCCTTTTACCAACCAGATGACTGTGAGTCAGTTGTCTGAATTGACTTTTCAGATCCTGAGTTGGATAAATATCAGATTATAGATGTAAATCAAATCCATTTAACTTCCAAATATACTAAGAAACATTTCTTCTTCATGAATATTTGGTCCAGCAATAAACCAGAAAAAAGACGTCACTCACATTGCATAACTGCATATACCTATCCCATGGGCAGTTACCACCTGAGAATATCTTAGTTTTAGGTGTAGACAAATCTCCCCTCCCAACTTTCACAATAGAAGTAGAGCTCTTAGTATGTAGCTAGCACTTTCTCTACTTTCTATAGATACAAAGACAAATGGGACATGGTGTCTCATGATGAAAACTAAAAAATGAGACAGAAACATGGAAACATCTTTCTCACGTGTGACAGTTTTCTCAGAGGTGCTGTGCAGCCCCTGAAGCGAGAGACATAATTGCTCTGCCAGTGGGGAAAGGTGAGCTCTGAAGGGAAAGGATGCATGGGGAGGATCCCATGTTCTGATGAAGGCATAGCATTGGCCAACATGATGATGGATGTGATATTTGTGACAAATAATTCTTCTTTCTTTTTCCCCAGACTTTATTGTTTTACTCTTGCTATTATGGTGAAGAAAAAGGGAAAAATTTCCAGGTTTTTTGATGTGAGAAGCACATTTTTCTTGGAAATCACCATCGGGATCACAGCCAACACTGTCCTGCTTCTGTTCCACATCCTCACATTTCTCCTCAAGCACAGGCCCAAGCCCCTGGACCTCACTATCACACAGCTGGCCCTGATCCACCTCGTGTTGGTGGGAACCATGGGCTTTATAGCTACAGACATTTTTGAGTTTCAGGGTTCGTTGGATGGCCTCATGTGTAAATTGGTTATCTACGTGCAAAAGTTGATGAGGTCTCTCTCCATCTGTACCACCTGCCTACTGAGTGTCCTCCAGGCCATTACCTTAAGCCCCAGAAACTCGTGTTTAGCAAAGTTCAAACATAAATCCTCACATCACTACCCATGTTACCTTGTGTTTCTATGGGTATTCAATATGATCCTTAATACTCGTTTCTTAGTCTCCATTGATGCCATCCCCAATGTGACCTCACACAGTCTCGTGTTTGTCACTGAATCCTGCTCTCAAAGGCCTATTACTTACTTGTTCAGGTACATATTTCTCTCACTGGTGAATATTCAGGATATCTCCTTTATAGGGCTGATGGCTCTCTCAAGTGGATACATGGTGAGTCTCTTATGCAGGCATAAAAGGCAGTTCCAGCACCTTCACAGCACCAATCTTTCTCCAAAAGCATCTCCAGAAGAAAGGGCCACTCGGAGCATCCTGCTGCTCATGGGTTTCTTTATGCTCATGTACTTTTTGGACTGTGCTACTTTCTCATCCCGTGCAATATTGCAGAACAATGACCCAATTAATCTTTGTGTCCACATGCTTGTGGGCAACGGCTATGCCACAATCTGTCCATTTGTGCTGATGAGCTCTGAAAAACGGGTAATTGCGTGCTTAAGATACAGATGGAAAAGACTACGAATTTTCTAGTATTTGCATCCTGATGGATAATTTCCAGATAACTAAATACTTGTAATTTCTCTTGCATCTTTGAAATAAATGTAGTTTTATCTTTTCTGTATTTCCTTTGATGTATTTGGGTTGTAAGTATACCAGTTTAAATCTGTGAAGAAATACAAGCTTGAGTTCCAGTGCTCATATGCTGCAACAAACTCTAAAGAACAGGATGTATGTTATAGGGGTGGAGCACTGATGTTATGGGGAAGACCAGGGTTGAAAGAAGCAGGAAGAAGGAATTAAACAGAAAATGCTCCAGGACAACATCCAGGGACATCTTGGTATTTGTCAGTTTGTATGCTTTTCCTTTATTTATTATTATTATTTTTTTTTTGGTTTTGGTTTTTCTCCGGTACCAGGAACCTAACTAATGACCTTGCGCTTGCAGGGCAGGCGCTTTTGCCACTGAGCTAAATCCCCAGCCCCTGCTTTTCCTTTATAATGTTAACTTGATTACTGAGAATCTTCAGAAATTGTATTAAAATCAAATACCATGATATGAACATATATCCTTGATCTACATACTGATTAGTTTGATAACTTTTTTTTATTTTAAAGATAAAAGGAGGGAAACATTAACAGACATACAACATTTTACAACATATTACAAGCACAATACAGACAATACAGAGTTACAAACAAAGTGGTAGGGAATTAACAATGGTGGTTGTATTACATATTGATATCTTCA